TATTTTATAGTGGTTTGTATGTTCTGCATAATACATGTGTTTGAACTGTCTAGCATGATGTTTTGTAAATTAGCTCTGGAGCTATATTTATATGCTCTGCTGGACGGCTGGAACAGGTTATTGAACCAGCAACCCACCAGTTACATGACGACTCCCCTAACCACTCTGCCACAGCTGCTCATGCTATACTTATAACTCTGGAGCTAATGCCATATACCATGGAGCAGCCAGTTTACATCATTTACCCAGAATGCTTTGCAGCGTAAATAACCTGGCAATGTCCATGTGACAATATTATATTTTTGATTTATAAAAACAGCCTACAGTGTTTTACAGTCTCATTTTTTTAAGTTGAAGTAAATTTTCATCAAAAAACGTTCAATGTAACTTGTCGGAGATCCCTTTAACATTTTTAATGGGATATATATTTTTTGTAGTCTGTAATAAACAACAGAGCACTTATTAAAATTAGGGATGGTCTAAATGCTGAATAGACCAAAAATAATCAAAATAACAAACATTTCATTTCATTTTGTTAATCCAGGAGCTGAAATAAAAGTTCACCTTCTCAGCAAAGTCCATTTCCGGGATGCAGACTGGCAGGATGTACCTGGAGAACTTGATGGGTGTGACCAGTTTGATGAGAGCGATGTCGTTATGGTAGGTGACTGGTTTGTAGTTGAAGTTGGAGATGATGGATTCCACCTGGTGCACAGCTTCAGTACCTTCATCTATCAGCGTGTCAAACTCACCTTGATGCACAGAAAAGATTTATAACAGAGTGTTTTAACACATTAAAATGTTTTATAAATGCAGCGGAAGAAATATGAACTAACAATGAAACAGCAAACGGTTGGATTATGTTAAAATAATTTACTCGGATTATACTTAAAATTAGTTAGATCAGTTGGATGGAATTGGACTAAAACTAACTGGATTGAATTGGACTGTATCTGTATCTAATTGGATTGAACAAAACTGTAATCAGACAAAACTTCAACTGAATCTAACTGGACTAAACTGGATTGAATGCTGCTAAGACTGTAACAAAATTGAATTGGAACTAACTAAACTGAATTGGATTTAATTGGGCTGTTACTGGTTTTAAAAAGTATGCAACTGGATTGGTTGGATTGAAATGGACTGTATTTAACTTATACATAGAACTGCAAAAAACTAAATTCAGTAAGACTGTATGAAAATATTGGATTTGATTATTTGGAACTGATTGAAACAAGTAAAATGATTGAATTTGACTGTAACTGCATTAAAA